ATACTTCCCAATCTTTAATTTTGCGATTAAGAGACTTTTCCGGAAATAAAAAGTAAAGAGATCCGCCTGAGTGGCCGAGTAGGCAAGAGTCTCGACTAGCAACTCAATAGTCGTGGGTTCAAACCTCAAGTGCGGTAGAGTTTTTTAATAAAAAAAGCCGATAGCCCTAGACGCTAGTGCTTTAAGACTTTAGTCTTAGAATTTATTCTCTGGCTAAATTTATAATCATAATAATAATAATAATAATAAAAAGTAAAGAAAAACAAAATGTGTGCTATTACATAAAAACGAAATCGGCTGAAAAAAGTTAAATTTGTATATATTATATTATATATATATATATATGTATATAAATTGTAAGGAAGCGTTTTGCTAATAAGTTGATAACAAGTCCGTCCGCAATAAATGTCTACACGTAGACCCCAAGCAGTCAGTCTGGTTCGTTCTTTGGATGTCTTTTTTTTATACCTAGATCCGCAATAACAATAAAGCAGACAAAAGGATAGGCATACAAACAAACATCGCGATAGGAAAAAAATAAGATAGCTTATGGATATGACGCATGTCACATGAAGGCATGCTCAACGGGTTATAAAATCATACGATAACAATAAGACAGACATAAAAATATACATACAAGCAAAACATGGCAATAGGAAAAGAAGGGTTTGTAAAATTATGCATTGTACATATCATAGGAGGACAGGCTTAACGGGTGACAAAACATACGATTTAGTACCTGAGCCGACACTAGCAATAAGATCATACGAGTTGGTACGTAATGTAGTATTAATGCTAAGATATACATAAGAGAAGCATATTTAGACAAGTCAGAGCTGAGCAAACATGTTCGACCAAACCTAAGTTAGCATACAGATGTGTAAGAATATCGTCACAACGCATATGTAAGCGAATATAGTCTAAAACATGCATGTAACGGGACAGCGATGGTGATCGCAACTATAAAAAAGCGTGTCGCACCACGCTCAGTCTTCCAGTTGTGTGATAGCAGCCAAGGGTAAGTGATCACGGTCATAACTAGTTGACTTTTACTTTAGGGTTTTTTTTTAACTCTACGGATAGGGGATTATCGGTGTGGCTTCGCCGTCATCCCTGAATGACTGAAGGATACTCTCTCTTGCAACGTGAAACGATTAGGGAGGGACAAGTGGACCTGTAGGCCGATGCTGGCTGGTACACCACCCGCGACGTATTCTTTTCTTTTACAGAAACTCGCGATACGGAAACGTGGAAAAGTAAATCGTTCGGAACGAATAAGAAATATTAAAACGGTAAAGAAGAGTTGGGTCACTTCGCTGGGTTTTTTCCTCCCACTCCCCTTAAAATCGCTTATCTATGGTAAATTGCTCAGAAATAAATAAAGAGAAACGTAAGAACAAAACCGAAAGTCCAAGTTTTTTTAATACAAATTTTCTTGGAAATAGTCGTGGATTGGCTGAGTATATATGCAGTTCAAAAATTTCACTTTTGCCGAAAATCCCCGCAACGATAAAACTTAAAATAAAACAATGTCGTGAATTCACCTTCAACAAAAACAATACACTTATGTCTGCGTACATATGCAAGTTTACGATTATATCCATATATCAATGGTATGCTCCCCCACGAAGATTTAAAGTTCATCTATTGCGGCTATAATGTTCTCGAACACGCCTCAGAAGCATTGTAAACGATATGTATTATTGCATTATTGCTATTGATTCTTACTCTATTTGTCCATATATATGCGTCTATCCAATTCCTATCCTTCTCAATTATACAATTTGAAAGAGTTGTTCTTAACATTAAAACATTTTTGGAAAATCATCAGAGAAGACATTAATGCCTAAAAGAAAAGGAAAAGAATAGATACATCACTTATTATTTTAGTTTATACTCTCTCTTTTGATACTTCATTGCATTTTAAATCATTTAATTCAAAGATGAGAAATTCTTGATTTACACAATCGTATTAATATCTTATGACATTTTAAATTAATTAATATTTTAATGAATTTTCATAGATTTTGCTTAAATGAGATAATGAATGAAGATAAATAAAAAGCAGTAATTACATTAAAGAGTGAAGAAAAATGATTAAATCTTTCATAATGTCTTTTAAAACTATTAACCATTTTTATTTGAGTTCTTACCCTCGAATAAAGTAATAATACTGTTGTTTCTCTCCCTCTCTCTCTCTCTCTATATATATATATATATATATATATTTCACATATTGTACAATATTGTCGCCAATTATCATCAACATAATCATCATCATCGTCGTTATACACTGTGTACGGTGTTGCCTGCAACAATCTAATGTTACAACGACATGGCATTGCGTTTGGTCGCGCATAGTCGTTGGGTGGTGATTGCGAACGTGCTGTACGCGATGCCATTGATGCTGGATACCGTCACATAGACACTGCGTACTTCTATGAAAACGAATATGAAGTGGGCAAAGCTGTACATGAGAAAGTTGCTGAAGGTGTTATCAAACGTGAAGACATTTTCGTCGTTTCTAAGGTAATCAGAATCAGTAACAACTATCTAACTGACTGACTGTCATTAAGTTGGTACAGAAAACGACCTAAAGTTAAACATAAGCTGCTTTGTAATGCTGCTCCTACTGTTTCGCTTGTTCAGCGAAAAGGAAGAAAAAAAAAAAAAAAAAAAATAAACAGAAAAAAAAATTTTAAATTAAAAGAAAGCAACGCAAAGAAACAAAAGGTTACAGTCGCTTTATGCGAGCAGTCAGTGTGATAAACGTACTTTTAATGTGGTTTTAATTAATATTTTCAGTTGTGGTGTCATTTCCATGAGCCTGAACGTGTTGAATACGCTTGTCGTAAGACTTTGACTAACTTTGGCATGGACTATGTCGATTTGTATTTAATGCATTGGCCCTATTCGTATGCATATCGTGGCGATGATGTTATGTTTCCCACCGATGCCAATGGAAAAGTTGAATTGAGGTAAAAGACAAAAACGAAACGGTACAACACGATAGGAAAAAAAAATTTGAAAACAATAGCAAATTTAAGAGAATAAATTTTAATAAACGGCAATTTTATGACATTTTAGTGATATCGATTATTTGGAGACTTGGAAAGCAATGGAGACACTGGTGGCCAAAGGCTTAACCAAAAGCATAGGAGTATCCAATTTCAATTCGGAGCAATTAAAACGTTTAATGGAGAACTGTAAAATCAAGCCAATACATAATCAAGTATATAATCATACATTACTCATTACATTAAGCAACATTAAGTCTACGCATAATTGCATGGCGAAATTCCAACAATAGTCGTCCGTAGTTTGCTACTCAATTCGCCTACAGATCTTTAAATGCTTATATACATTTCAAAAAAAAAAAAAAAAAAGTTTGATGATTTCGATTACCACAAGTCCCTTCTGCCCTCTCAGCTAATTCTTATTTAAGGTTTTAATCTACTCCGGTCGTTAGTTAATAACTCAATAAAGACAATTCCACTGCGGAGATTTTTGTTTCTGCTTCTTTCAATTCCAATCCTAATGTCAGTTTCTGTCGATATCGATCAATCCAAAATTTTTCTTTACTCGAACGAAATAGATTGTGGTCTCAACAACCAATCAAAAAAATCAAACAAAATATCATTTTTCGGTAAAATTATCACAATTTTTGCTGAAAAAAAAAAAATTATGCGTAGGGTTATCAATATTTAACTCCGTTATGGATTTGCTTTCATAATTGTTACAGATTGAATGCCATCCTGGTTTAAATCAAAAGCCTTTAATTAAATTGTGCAAACAATATAATGTTATAGTAACGGCTTATTGTCCTTTGGGTAGACCGGACCCAATTAACAAGTTGCCGACATTCCTATACGATCCGAAAGTCAAAACTATTGCCGATAAATATCAGAAGACACCAGCACAAGTAGTGTTGCGTTATTTGGTATGTAATGTTAATTTTATACCGCAATTACTATTTCTCTTTAACTACATAACATAATCGCTTTTCCAGCTCGAGCTTGGCACAGTTCCACTACCTAAATCGGTTAATAAAAATCGCATTGTAGAGAATTTCAACATTTTTGATTTTCAACTAAACCTCGATGACCATAAGGTAATGGATTCATTTCATACGGGGCAGCGTATTGTATCTATGACTCATTCCGAATCTAGTAAATATTATCCTTTCAATATTCAATATTAACGAAGGATTGCCTTCTAGTTCATACAAACGAAAAAAGAAAGTTCGTAAATATTATAAAAAGGAAATTATAAAAAAATATAATTTCTGTGCAGTCTTGTAATTAATGCGGAGACAGACCATTAATCAATTAGTCTTTAAATAACTGGATAAATTAATGACCATTTCTTTTGTTTTAACTTGAACGTGTAAGTAAAAAAATTTTTAAAGTGCGAAGAAAGCAAAATATTGCAATAAATTCTCTTTGCTGATCTATCAGTTTTGTTTCTGGTAAAACTGTACATGCTTTCAGGTCTTATTAAATCATTTTCATTTTGTTCATTAGATCGTTTTTATATGCATCGTGGAGAAATATACATATATATATATATATATATATATTTTGCGTATATATTTATTTAAATATATACAAATTTGTAATTGTTTTTATTATTAAAAAGCTCACAACTTTCAATTTTGTATATGTAATGCCTTTACTTTATGCAAATAAAGTTGGTTTTGCTTAAGCTTAAGCAATACAAATTTTACATTAATAGGATTCACGTTCTACTTCTCATGGCTCTGTGCATTAAAGCTTTAACAACATCCAAAGGGAAAAAGAAAACATAGTAAGAGAGAAAGGAAGGTACCATCATATCTTGTTCACCCGCGTAGGGCTCTTTTTTTTTAGCAAAACTTGTCTCCGTGTAATATCAGCAAAGGCATACGTACTTAACGTAAAAATTGTGCGCCTTGCGAGAATTCGTCATATCTTTTCGCCGACTTCCAAATGAAATGATTTTTATTTTGTTCTTCTTCGACTGCTCTCGCTCGACGGCTCTAGCGCATTATCTCAAATCTTCACAAAATGTTCCTTTTTTCGAAATATTTCAATTACAATAATAGCAAAAAAAAAAAAAATAAAAAAAAATCTGCTTACAACTGAAAGAATAAAATTTCAAATTGAAAAATGAAGCAAAGGTAGCATTTAAAAATTCTTTTTCATTACACGTGGAAATGTTGATACACATTTACTAATTTAAGCGACTCAGTTCGTCGATTAAGACGCAGTTTTACACTAACATTTTATATAACCAAGTGCATTATAGTCGAGAAACACCGCCTATTCCATACCATACACCACTGCGTCTATTACAATTATTCGCTCGTTAGGTACACATTATTTTCACGCAAAGCGATAACTAATAAAAGCTGGCATATTGGAAGGTTAGATTTTCTTCATATATAAGAGTTTGCGTTTCGTGATATATGTTAGGGTCCAAAAACAATAGACCTATGTGATCCAAATTCCGTACCATTAATTTTTTTTTGCTGAAACACTACTATGGATTAATTTTCATCATAAAACATTACAAAGTAATCCTTTTTCAAAATTATGTCCATTTAATATTTTTATTTGATTGCTTACAAGAACAGAATTTTCATCACGAAAAACAAGTAATAAGATAGTTCTCGCCTATGCTGGCGGTAAATTTTTAAAAGTAAGACAACACATTTATTTAGAAAGGCACATCTTCAAAAGAAACAAATTCTGATAACTATACTCGGTCCAAAGTAAATGATATACACCATGCATTCTATGACATCCTTTATATACATTAGCAGTAGCGTTTCTTTTTTCTCAAAATTTTCAAAAATTTGCAGTCTTCTCTTTTCGTTTTGTTCATCATATGGGTGGAAGCGTATTAGGTTCAATATAAAGGTTTGTATCGTTTGCTGATCAAAAGTGAAGATGGCATATGTTTCTCTTTTAGCTCTCCGTTGGATCATAATTATCTTAAAACTTTAGCGATAAAAACACGCAGATAGAAAATGTCAATCTCTCAACGACTTTTTAATGAAATTAAAGCATTTTTTTTTCATTAATTTTGACATAAGCAAGTTGTTTAGTTAGAGAAATTATTCTGCGGAAAATGCATAAACCACTTGAGAATTTTATATAAATTGCAATAGATTATTACGCCGTCTATAATGCTTATTGCTGGATGTTAAGAACAGAGCTATAAGATTGAAAGACTTCTGCGGCAGTTTGGTCAATGTAAAAAGTTTCAAATAACGAAAAATAACTGCAAACGCTTTTAGTGGTGCATTTAACAAACATATTTAAAACATAAAGAAATTTGCGAATAGAATAAAACTGAATGAACTTTGCGATGCTTAAGACCAATCTATTACAATAAATTGGCATAGAAATTCTCAGCAAACTTTTACAAATTCTCATTTGTGTGAAAACCATCAAAGACTACATATGCAATTTACGCGAGGCGGTCGTCGCCTTAGCGCGGTGGTGGAATGGTGGTTCGTGGAATGCAAGAATAATTTTCAAGGAAATTTAACAAAACCATTTTCTCCTCGAGCATATTCAACAATTAAGATAATCAACGATATGCGATTAAATAATGTAGAGAATTTATTAATAAAGCCATATGAACAACAACTGGTATGCAATAGGAAAGCTTTTTGTGCAAGTAAGTTGCTTACTGTATTTCTCGTTTTCTCTTTCGAAAAAATAGAAAGCTTTGAGTTATTTGAAAAAATGAAGTGACTTTTTGAGAACTAGAAATTTCTTATTCAATTCAGTTAAATTTCTATAGCTGCAAAGTCTCATTGTCTATTGGAAAAAAGTGAATATACCGGTTGGCAAGAAATAAGAAACAAACGCACAATTACCGAATACAATCTACGAAAAGGCAAACAGTTTCATACCAAAGGCATTCAAAACAGTAATCAGGAAAATTTCAATAAAGCAAAGATGGATCCAAAATTAGCTCCTACCGTGAAATTGAATAGCGGCTATGAGATGCCTGTACTCGGCTTGGGAACGTACCAGGTGAGTTTATCGTAGCGATAAAGTCTGCGTAAATGTAGTTTAAAGCCGTTTAAATCATAAGCGACCAAGAAATTTTCCAATTATGGTTGCCAAATTTCTTCACAAATTTCTTTTATTTATTTATTGAAAATGACAAGCATTTCTAGTAAAAAGTTTTTTGTATGAAATTTTTTGTATCAAAACAGCTCGATCAGATTCTGCATATGGGAAGCGGAACATCCTTAGGTGTTATACATGACGTTATGCATGCATGCATCGAATTTCAATTTGTCGAATTTTAAACAAATTCTAAACGTAGAAATATAAATTCTTCAAATGTATGGTTTGCTAAATAGATTCGACGCAATGGATCGAAAAGCCTCGATCGAATTAAAAGCTGACTTATAATCATATTTTTCGAAAGCGTGAAAATTGCTTGCTTTTTCCTATATATTTTTTTGCTGGCAACTCTATGCCTCAAAGAAGTAGTAACAACAGTTGTATGAGAAGATGTAGCAAGATGAAGCCGGCATTTTTCTTTTTATAAACAATGTTACTACTACAATATGTTAGGAATATAGCAAAGTTTGTCAAATCCACAGATATGAAAGAGGGCGAAAGTGAACTTTTTTATTTTTTGCTTATGGTAAGGGTTTATTTCTTCGCAGCGGGAATTAAAATAAGAAAGTTAAGTTTGGAGGGAAATTCGTAGTACCCATCTAGCTAACGTTTATTATACTGGTCGTAATATTTACAAAAATCTTGATTATTATATCGTCACTAGTTAATAATTAGCTTACGTAAAGCGGTAATAGTAGAAATCAACGAGTTCTTCCTAACTTTTTATATGGGGAGAAGTATGGTCTGAAATATCAAATATTTGTATGCACAAACTGATCTTATCGTTAAGTGTAGATGATGAATATGGATGAAAAATATAACCATAATTCATTTTTTAGTTTTAATCTAGATTACTAAAGTGGTCATTAAGTAGCGAGTTCAAGCAGAATGAATTTCTCGCTCAATCTAACTAGAATATCAAAAGTAAAAAGAAAAGAAAAACAAAAGTTTAAGCTTACCGCGTTGTAAACAAAGATTTGATGACGTAATTGTGCGTCTATGTAGATAATTTGATTCCAATGTGTTTGTAATGATCGCAAACATCGTGTATATTACGAGTAATAAGAAAAGTTTAATTTATTTATTACTTTCAAGTTGAAAAAGGGCAAATGTGAACATATTATACGTGAAGCTATAAAAATTGGTTACCGCCATATAGATACCGCGTATCTATATGACAATGAGTCGAACATAGGCAAAGCTCTAAAGGAGTGTTTTGATGAAAACCTTATCAAACGTAACGAAATATTTTTGGTCACGAAATTGTGGAGCACTTTCCATGAGCCTCATTTAGTGCGACGTGCTTGTAAAAAACAAATGGAAGCCTTAAATGTTAATTACATAGATTTATATTTGATGCATTCACCCATAAGCATTAAGTATGTGAATGACGGTGATTTGAAGCCTCATAATAGGAGTAACGAATTGCAAACAAGGTTTGTTAAATGTTCAAACTTTAATCCCCTTTTTTTTTAAACCTTATTTTTAACTTTATGATGATTATTTATATATTTCCAAGTGGTGTGGATTTTGTGGACACTTACAAAGCTATGGAGAAATTGGTTGAAATAGGTTGGGTGCGCAGTTTGGGTGTATCCAATTTTGACATTGGTCAATTGGAACGTTTATTAGATAATTGTTCTATAAAACCGGTAACTAACCAGGTGGAATGTCATCCTGGTTTAAGTCAACGTGTTCTAAGAGACTATGCCCGTCATAATGATATTATTATTACTGCCTATTCACCTTTGGGTCGACCAAAAACCGTGATACCATATTTCTACGAAGAGAGGGCTCTTAAAGCAATCGCTGCAAAATATAACAAAACCAAGTTTCAAATTGTTCTCAAGTATTTAGTAAGTTCCTTTTTCCTTGTCACTTTTAAAATTTTAATATGTATGAATTTTCAGATTGGTATCGACACTGTTCCCATACCGAAAACATGTCACGTTAAGAGACTTATAGAAAATATCGATATATTTGATTTTAATTTAAGCGAAGAAGAAATCGCTGTTATAGACGGCTTTAAAAGCGGCCAACGAATATGGCCCTTAGGAGAAAAACCCTAAAGAAGCAAAAACTCTCGTATATTTTCATAAATGTCTAATAAAACTAATTTCAATTTCAAATCTGTATTTCTTTTTATTGTATATAACATTCTTAGAAGACTTTTTTCCCCTCTTGTTAATAAAAGTTATTTGCCTAATTAGTTAAATTATGAAATTGAGGTAGTTCCTGGCGGCCCGTAAATTCTATTTATCTTTACCATTCGTGCGGGAGATATATTGTAAGCAATACATATTTATTGATGCAACAGGCTTTACTATGCATAAAAAACTGCCATGCCTGTGTAAAAAACACAGTCATTAATTAAATGTTCATTATTTCGACATTTGAGAAATAAACAGAAATGCAGGTATATAGGGCGCCTACGTTTAATCTGGCTCAACTGGTTCTTCGTGGCAGCGGGAAGAAAGAATTCAGACTAAATTTGTTTTTTTACGATAACGTCTCGACTTTTAATACATGTATGCAGAATATAGAGGTTTGTTCCCGTATGTATGTCCATGCGTGACAAACGTTGAAGTCATGCACTTCCTGTGATCGACATGGGAAGTTAAAGGAACTAGTGCTTTGATAGATTTGGATAGATGCTCTAAAAAGAAAATTTAGTTGGAAATGCTTGGGCATATGTTTGGATTGACTCATTTGATTGCTTTCATTTCTAATTAACTGAACAAGCGTGGTTTGCATATATTTAATACAATTACGAATATTTTATGTACTGCAATCTAATTTTTCAAAAATTGTATTTTCCCAGTCGAAGGGCGAAGAAGCAGAAATGGCTGTTAAGCATGCTATTGATGTGGGCTATCGTCACATCGATACCGCATACTTTTATGAAAATGAGGCCGAAGTAGGCAAAGCGATTAAAGAGAAGATCTGTGCAGGTGTCGTCAAAAGAGAAGATATCTTTTTAGTAACTAAGGTAACAACTATGAAAACTATTTTTTCTACAATCAAACTATATACGCTAATCGAAAATTTAAAATTGTATACTTATGGGATAGCTGTGGAATATTCATCATGAACCGCAGCGTGTGAAAGGCGCATTTCTTAAACAGTTGGAAACTATTGGTTTGGATTATATTGATTTGTATTTGATGCATTTGCCGGTGGGTTATAAATATGTGGACGAGGAAACTCTATTACCTAGAGATCAGGATGATAAATTGCAATTGACGTAAGCACTTTGCTTTTAATTAAAATTTTTATTTAATATTTTTCATTTTAATATATAGCGATGTTGACTATCTCGATACTTACAAGGCTATGGAAGAACTTGTGAAATCCGGCTTAGTACGCAGCATTGGTGTATCCAATTTTAACAGCGAACAATTGCAAAGAATTTTGGACAATTGCTGCATAAAACCAGTCACCAATCAAGTGGAATGTTCTCCGGCTTTGAATCAACGAAAATTGACAACATTTTGTAAGGAGCGTGACATCATTCTGACCGCTTATTCACCACTGGGTCGTCCCAATTTAACGGCAAAGACACCCGAATTTTATTTTTCACCAAAAACTCAAAGTTTAGCTAACAAATATCAAAAGACGCCGGCGCAAATTATTTTACGTTATTTGGTTAGTTTTCAGTTTTACATTTCATGAAATAATTTAAACCTTACATATTGAATGGTTTTTTTTTTTTCTTCCGCAGGTGGACATTGGTACCGTACCTATACCGAAATCTGCCAATCAGAAACGTATTGAAGAGAATTTGAACATATTTGATTTCAAATTGACGGCCAATGATATTGAGATTATGGATTCATTTAACACTGGTGATCGTTTAGTTCCATTCAATTTGATAAAAGCACAAAACCACAAATATTTCCCATTCCATATTGAATTCTGATGAAATTTATGACTGTAGAGATAAAAGAATTTTTCACTTGAATTTTGGAAATAATGTTCGAGAGAAAATAAAAATTTATAAGTACTAATGAACGCAAGAGTTAAAACGTTAAAAAATGCATCGTAACGGGAAGTAATCACTAAGAGAAATATGCAAGAGATTTATACTATAGTATAAGGAAAGATTAAATTGGCTTGCAATTATATCCACTCTACACACTATAGAGTGTGTGTAATGTTAATCACATAGAATAGTCAAATCAATTTAGCTATGTCTGGCGGGCAGCCCAATGAAGTATTTCTGATGTACTTTGTCTTTAATTATCTCGGTTTTACAACCAGGTAACTCCGTCCCTATGTCACCAAATTTTACAAATTCCTATACATGGATATTAATTATTCATATACGGTATCTAATATTTGATGTAGTTCAATTATTCAATTCAGTTCAATTTTTCGAAAAGTTTCATGTGGCAGTAAGTGTTAAAAACTTAGTGTTACTTTGTTATTTCGTTCGTTTTCATCTTTTTAGGAATTTCATCATTTTTAAGATAAAAGTACTCGATGTTTAATTTAGATTATTTTTATACTTATCATGAAAGGATGGTTGGTATATTCATTTTGTGAAAACGTCTGCAACGTCCGCAAGGTAGCTTCAGAGACCCCACAAAGAATTAAGCACCATATTCTAAATCGATTTAAGCATGCTCGTCTAATCTACTATGTAGAATCTGTGGGAAACATTCTTCCCTTTTCAAAAATCAGGTTATTACCCATAAAATTGCAAAAAAATTTGAAAATAACCTGAACCGCCTACAAATCGAATTCGCAGATGAATCTGATCGAAAGCTTTGTCTCGAGTTTTTGTCTCAGAGTAAATATCAGAGCTAAAAGGATTTTTTTTAAAACATGGTTTTATTAAAGTCTTTGCGTATTACTAATTAATTATGTAAAATACATTGTAATGATTACTTGTAGTAATAGGCTATTCAAGACCTTACGTTTAATTATTGTATGGATCGAGTGTTTCATAATAAATGAATGCATATAGCGACGTATAGTGAACTTAGGCCCGAACCGATCGTGGATAGCTGGAGTTGGAGGCAATCAACGAAAATGTTTGCTTCATTAGGATGGGATACTAAAACGAATCCTCTACAGCAGTATATTTTTATTTCCCTTTTGTGTAAACCTTTTCTTTTCATTGCAAATGTCGGATACATGAACTCCTTGAATGATGAAAGTTCCACTGTTCAAATAAAAATCGCTATTAATTTCACAAGTTACACATTTGGACAGTTGTGTATTTGAATTCTTTGCATTAATCAGGGCGCGTTAAAGGTGACAATGTTTTCTAGTAGATCAAAAGAAGCAAATTCCATGCGACGAATCGTGCAAAATATAATATTTTAAGGCAAAAAGTCAGATTCTGCATCCCTTTAAACCCTTTAGATCCCCTGATACCAATATTTTGAAGAGCCTTTGATTCGAATTTGAAATTGTTGGATCAGTCCAACGGTTAAAAGCGACGAAATGGTCCTAACTTAGCCGTTTTCAAAAATTTTAAATTCAGTTGAATATTTTCATGCATTCCGAGACATTGAAGTGCTTTATGTAGATTTTTCCGACTGCTTTTTATACCCCACACCATATGTATGATAATGAATGATAATATCAATAATTTACTACGTCTCTCTGCCTGGTTTAGCATATTATCATACCAGATGGAAAGGTTGAAAACAATTGAAAGGTGGATTCACCGACGTTGCACTGGTCTACGCACGTATTGATTGTCGGAAGGACACTTCAGGAATATATCTAATAAATTTTTATCTAATAAAAAATGCCTCACACTTTTGTACCTAAGTAGTCAGCCGAAGAAGAAAGTGAATAATTTATTTAAGATAAATTATTCTATTCCCGTAGAAGATATATTCGTTACAACCGAATTGGTTTGGCTTATAATAGCAGCCAGTAGAGGTATATAATCTTAAGTTTAGTTTTAACTGTAAGCAAGATACAAGGTCACACACAATATTAACTACGCCCACATTTTATTTTCTTTTTATAGGAGTTAAATTAAAAACAAAAGAAAAAAAAAAAACAATGGAAAATGTATTTGAAACAGAATTGTGAACTAATAATGTATTGTTACGAAAATCCCAAATCCGGTTAATTCCAGCTAAGTAATTTTCCCTAATAATAAATTCCCTAAAGAAGGAAAAACCAAATGCACATTCGCAGGCGGGTCATGCAGCTGCAGGCCGATGAAAACGATTAGTGGGAAAAGCAGATAGGGAGTAAATATAAAAATTATGAATTTGGGTATAGTAACATGCTTGTAAAAATGTATATACATAATTAGAATATTTGTGGAAGGGAGAGTTAGTCTGGCAAGAACCTTTGAGTTGAGAGTGCGGCCAAAATAAATTGTGAATAATCCTACTGTTAAGGAATGTAATTGTGAATTAAACAACTATGAAGTGTATTTCTCTTGGCCAAAATATCCGCAATCCAGTGATACGGACTATATCTTAGAAAAGCGAATTCTATGTTAGATTCTTATCATTCCAATTGACAGAAGAATATATTATGTAGTAGAAAGAAATATGTAGAAAGATAAGAGATTCTTCATTTAAAAATTACGTTTTTTCTTGTAATAAGACTCACTTTTCTTATACAAGACGGGATCCAAAAAATTAACATACGAGGTCCAAACTTGATAATTCTCTTTTTTTTATATCACATTGTTATTATAAACCAATTTCCATCATAAGCTAATAAAAATTAGATCTTTTCACCATATGAAGGCAATACAACCTGTACATGTGGTGTGGAGCATAACAAGCTTCGCTAGATATAGGTCATCTCGGTTCAAGATTTGATAGGACTCTTGAAAAGTTAGTTTTTATAAGGTAAGGCAACATAATTTTTGGTATTTGATAACAAAAATAATCAAAGAATTGTATTAGGCGAAATCGATCGATGAGATCATTTTCTATATCCTTGATGAAGATTTCTTCTCAGAGAGAATTTTCGCTAATAGTATGGCATAAACACTGAAAACTTTGAATATCGCGCTGAGGAAAGCAACTAGCTGAGCAATTATGTATAACTGAGTTTTCATTTTACGCGGCATCTGTTCCTTCCATTCTCGACAAAATAATAGGATGATTTAAAAATCGTTAAGT